GTGGGAAAGTGCAAGAAAAGCCTATCCTGAAAATTCATGATAAATTCAACCCCTCTAATCCATCCATAAATGCTCTAAAGACTGAAACTGCCAATCAACAGAATTAAAATAAATTTGTTATTCACTGAAAATCTTCAGTAGATTGAGGAGAAACAGTTCATGCATGCTTTCAGCATTTTTGACAAACGTGAACATTATTCAACATTTCTCATGCATGTTCCACAGAAGGGTTTAGAATGACATGAATAATAATAAAATAACTTTTTCGGAATTAATGAATCATTTGTAAAGAATTTATTAAGGGTGAATAAATAGATTTTCAGTTTATATATATATATATATATATATATATATATAAAATTACAGGAAGAGTTTCCAATTTCATGCTTGCCATCTGTTGATCAAAATAGTCTCATAAGTGATGCTAAAACAGTTTTGTACGTTTTTCTAGATAAGAGCATCTGCTACATGCCTTAAATAAATTCTAAATGATGTTTTGCACATGTCCATTATATATTCAGTCATCTGATTCCTGATATATTTCTGAACAAACATACTGCTGATTATTCTCAAATATTCCACCATGTATAAGAAATAAAATACAAACAGATAGATAAACACATAAAGAGCAAATTTATTATACAAATTCAGTTAAAAGAGAGGAAAAAATATGTTTTGTCTTGAATGACTGGCATTTTCTGGTATTTTAGTATGTTTCTGAATTCTGATGATTGTTGTGCATTGGTAATTTGCTAGACTAGAGTTTCCCAGCCTTGGTGGTGATGTTTCAGTAACAGAGATTCACATATGGGACTGATCAAGAGTTCAGCTTAATAAACAGATGCAACACCTGCCAACTAGCACGCACACACAGAGACAACCCTACAGAAACACAAGTATGCATGGATGCATGTGCATGTTCAGCACACACTCTATTAAGCTCTTTCCCAAACACATATCAGTAGTGTCTGTTAGAGCCCGACTGATATATAATTTTGCCGATTTTATCGGCCGATATGAGCCAGTCGCAGATCGGTATCGGCGTATATGCCAACGATATGATTTTTTTTTTTTTTTTTTTT